TCAGGCGATCAGCAGATACTTTGGCAATGCAGTGAGAATTGCCAGCACATCCATGAATAAGATACACGACATAATTCGAAACAAGAAGCAGCCCGAAAACAATCCTAACAGTGCTATATATCGTATACCCTGCAGCAGTTGCGATACAGCATACTTTGGTGGGACAGGCCGTGGTTTCAGCACCAGGATCAGCGAGCATCGAGCTGACATCCGTCACCATAGAACTTCTAACGCCTTGGTGGTACATTTAGATGAAGCTGGACATCTACCCGATTGGAAAGAAGCAAAAATAGTCCATGAAGGACTAAAAATGCAGAAAAGAAAAGTTATGGTTACATCGCGACGGAGAATAACATCAAAGAACGTCGGGCAGATTCAAATTATCCAAGGTCGCGGTAACAATTATACGAACAACAAGTGAGAGGCGTCAGGTAGTTCGTCAGTTCACGTATGATATATATATATATATATATATATATATATATATATATATATATATATATATACTGTAATTCCTTTGATGCAAGGCTCCGGGCTAATACAGTGGTAACGTGTCGGCCTCTCATCCGAGGGGTCGGCGGTTCGCGCCCCGCCCAGGCGCGGGAAGTTGCAATTGTCGCCTAGAGGTTACTGCTGTGGCTGGGCACCACGGTGGGTAAGGCCTAAGCTCACCCGAGTCAGCACCTGCTGACACACTGTTAGCGAGTCGACATTAGTCGGCACAGGCCGGGCTCCCCTCATAGCCCGGGCGAAGCTCAGCTTCGCATATCGAACTTATCCTTATCCTTTGATACTTGCCGGGCCATAGCCGAAGGCCCGGGCGAAGCCAGTACTTCGCAAATCGCAATAGTAGTACCTTTGATGCATGTATTTCTAACGAAGGTATAATCTAAACCGGTCAAATACATCTCTTGTATTGTGAGGATATCCATTCTCATTCATACCTTTTCTATATTTACATATATATATATATATATATATATATATATATATATATATATATATATATATATATTTACATATTTATATACATATGTATATATATTTACATATATATATATATATATATATATATATATATATATATATATATATATATATATTTACATATATATATATTTACATATATATATATATTTACATATACATATATATTTACACATATATATATATATTTACATATATATATATATCTATATATATATATTCATATATATATATATTTATATGTATATGTATATAATTATATATATATATATATATATATATATATATATATATATATATATGTATAAACTTATATAAAAAATATATATATATATGAATATATCTATAAATATTTACATATATAAATATGTGTTTGTGTGTGTGTATCTAGGTAGGTAGGTACATGTATAATAATTTACCTGAGTTGATATGAATCCTCCTTGGCCATTTCTCTGTGAAGATATCCATTTCACTATTTTTCTGGCTTGAAGCTCAAATTTGGTTGCATCTAAGGTCATCATTGAAAGAACTGCATAACCAGCTGTCTCTACAGCAACAGCTTGACTCTTTCCTTTAGTAGAACAAAAAATACAGTATTCATTATGACAGGAATAAGATAAGGAAATGTTTTAGTCTAGGGTTGCACACAGGCTGTATCAAAAGTGTCATGACACCACACAGTGGTTGTCTCATTACCCTGTGACAGTTAAAAGGATAATAAGTACATGTCATCTTGCATGGAAAGACTGATTACTTTATCTCATCTTAGGTATTAGATAATGATATGCTCACATCATATGTTGGTAAATGAAGAACTATATTTACAAAACATGTTCCACCACAACATAGAAATCCATCTTTCTTAAATCATTCACTTTGCTGTGAATTTGATAACACTGGAGATGCAATACATACATATTATACAACCCTGCTACACCAGATTTGAAAAAAAGTAAAGCTTAATGTTCAGTATCACTGATGAAGCAAGATGATGCTACAGCATTCTACAACTCTTATTGGAATTCTGTTCCATATTCAGAATCAGGTTACAAATATAAGCAATTATACCTGAACCAGCTGGAAGCTCCCAATGCATTGAATCGGTGGTCTCTTCTGCTACATTAATAAGGTTCTGCACTGCTTGTTCTGCCTTTGGGGAATCAGAGAGAGAAAGCGAATAGGCTTTCAAAGCTAAAGTGTAGGGATCCTTGGATGTATCAGCATCTAAACAGAAGGCTGCTTTCATGACTGCACGACTGCTTGTCACTTCACCCGCTTCAAGGAGGGAAATCAACACATAGGCTGTTAATGGTACTGGAGAACCACTTCCATCAATACCACCCTGAAGATCAAACATTGAGAAAAGTTAACAATTTAGTTCTTTCTTTATTTTCAGTATATCATCAGAGATATATCTATTTTGCTTTACCTTCATGCCTTTGTGGAAGACTTTCCCCACAGATTGGAAACATCCATTCTTCATCTGATGCAATTTCAGCCAACCAAGGCTCAT